AACTTGTGTAAGGGTACGTTCTTTTCAGCTTATTTTCAGTTCAGTTCAGCTTCAATCAGTTCAGTTTATCTCCTAATTTACTTCTCTCATAAAATATTCAGTTCAGTTCAGTTCAATTTAGTTCAAATCAGTTCAACTCATTTCAATAAATAGAACATACCCTAAAAATTATACTTCTAAAAATTTGTAGAGATTGTCCAAAAATTATAAAAACTTGTAGAAGTTGAAACTTATTATTTCAACGTATAATTTATTGTAAAAAGAAAATAATTAGCATTATGGTCAACCTTTAAAACACAAATATAAAAACTTATATATATATATATATATATATATATATATATATATATATATATATATATATATATATATAATTGTCAACGCATAGCCAGAATGTAAAAAATGTTGTTAGCTAATAAACTTACCCTGCTATCAAAACTTACCCATTAATAATTAGTGCAATTCTATTATTGTAGAAGTGTAATTAATTACTCAACTCTTGTCTAACACTCAACCAAATATACTTAATTACCATGTATAATTGTTTGGTCTCAATTGGCCAACTTGTCTGGTCATCATGAGATACTAAGATCACCATGCACTCTACTTATAGCTATCTTTCTCAATAATTGTATGCCACAGACTTCATTAGAACGATGAACCTCCTTTGGCTCTTCTTTCCAAAAATCCCTCTCCTTGCTATGATTACAATGTGTTTATTACGTGCAACACTATTTTGTTTCTTAGTGGTGCGGAAGCATTGGGGTAGCCTTCATATATACCTAATCGTCCATAAAGAGTCTCTGTACGTAGAGCTGACAATAATTGACCCGAGATGATGAATTACGATAATTATCATTTCTCATGATTTTCAAAAGGAAAATAATTTCTCTTAAATTATAAACATCTATGAAAGATTGAAGTTAATTTTTAAAATTTCAAACCAACCCTCAAAAATTAATGTACAAAATAACAAAATATTGAGGAGGGCTACCTACTTATAATATAATTGAATAAATAAAAGTTCATCAACCATTAGTCCATTAGAGATTGAATAATTACTATATTTGTTGGGAAGGATCAACAACCAAAGCCAACCAAGGTCAAGTCAATTTCATCATCAGACAAAAGGAATTTCTAATTAGGTAGGTCAAGAAGAAATTCAAAAATAATGCATATAATAAAAACAGTGTATATAATCTCGTATTATTCTTATCTGCTTTAAAACCAATGATTTTGTTTCTCAAATTAGACGCAATAAAATGCATGCTAATGCTACAAAAAGCTATAGTTTTCAGGGTCATATAATTTATATATTTATAGATTATTTTTATTATTTTTGTTATTAATTATTATACACTTAAATTGCACGCCAATAGGGCATTGACCTGTAATACATAGCATTGCATGCACGCATCATTTCTTCTTCAATAAGTTGTTCACTTGTTCGTATAATTAGTACGCGTAACAATGATTACACTCCCAATCAAAGGGTTTATTACGTATAAAATTAGCTTAAATTAAGATTATTATCCTTTTTGTTGTTGCATGCAAAGTAGTGATTGATCATGAATGAAGAATTAACTTTTTATGATGAGTTGAATCACTAGATAGTGTTTTGAACGTTATGGCCAATCTGACCTACAATCAAGAATTGATATGCATACTTACTTTTTATTTAGGGCACAAATTTCTTTAGTAACTTCTAGAAAAAATTTAAGATCAATGCCTAACCAATAACGTTCATTTTATTTGTATGTGACGAACAACCCTGATGATGATATTTTTTATGAAAATTACTATATGTTATGATCATGAAAATTCGTATTAGATGTCTCATGGTATATTGCTGGTATTTAAGTAAAATGTAAAGTTTAATGCTTTGAAATGAAATTACTAAACCGCCATATGATATCGAAGTGATACAGTTTATGAAAATATGTAATAACGATAACAAAGTGTAATAATTGAAACCTTAGGGCATCAAAGTGGAAACTTACCAAAAATTTATATTCAATTCAAATCATTGTTCTGATTGAGCACACTAATTTAAGCGTAAAAGTATGGGTGTGGGGTTTTGCCGTTTTGGGTGGATATAAATTGATAAAAAAGAACAAAAACATAGTATCCTCAAATCATGACCTAATTGTGAAGAAAGAAAATATTTAACAGGCCAAATAAATTCCCATTTATTAATTTATAGGTGATAGGAAAATATATTAGACACAAGAATTAATTTTGATTGAGTAGTTACATAGCTAAGGTTCATACAAAATTGAGAATTTCATCAATTAAATTAACTTTTTTTTTTTTTTTGAGGGAAATTAAATCAACCACTTCGTATTTTAAAATAAGCTTATTTTGTTTTGTTGGGCCGTGTTATATTTCTCCAATAAAGGGAAAAAAAACATGACCCAAGCCTAGCTTATCCATGGCCCATGTCTTGCATTTATCTTGATGGGTCATGCAACTCATGCTACACCCCTAGGGCAAATTTAATTCAAGATTTTGTTAAAACCTCTGTTCATAAGAATTTTTAGCAATTAACTACAAAATCACCACTTTGCTTGTTCTTCTTCCTCTAAGAATATCTGCTAATATAATTTGGACAGTTCAAAAATCAAGAATTGCTTACTGTATATTATTTGATTTTGTGATTAGAAATGAAGGGTGATTTAGGCGAAGCGAAGGCTCTTAGGCCTAGTTCTGTTCACTTTATTTCCACTTATTTCAGGATAAATAACTTCAGATAAGGGTTAATAAGTTTAAATAAGATAAGTTCAGATAAGTTGTGATAAGGGTTAACCAGGACTATAAAATTTTAATTTATAACTAAAATAAGCTCTAATAGGGGCTAATAAATTCAGATAAGTTTAGATTAGATCAACTAAGTTCAGATAAGTCTCTTACACCAGAATTCTCCATACTAGCTAAGGTGATGGACCTTAAAAAGGTTTGGCAATTCCCAAAATATTTAATCGTTAATAATTGACCCAAATTTAATTAGGCATGGCCTTGATAAAACCCAAATTGAAAGATGTTGAACCAAATGTGAACCCAATCAAGCATGAACTACTACCTTCGTTACAGGTTATGTGCAACAATCAATTACATTATACTAATAGCGAATTTAGCGGGACACTTGGCAATATAATATAAAGAGCTTTCCCTCCAAAATAATTTACTAAAAAACCTTATTTTTATGTTTGTATCTAAATTTTACTTTTGATTTGTACAAAATCTAAAATAAACTTCTTAAATATCACATTGCCCATTATTGTTATTACAGTACATATCTAATTATTTTCTTTCACATATATATCATTTTTTTTTTGAAACAATCAATTACATTATACTAATAGCGAATTTAGCGGGACACTTGGCAATATAATATAAAGAGTTTTCCCTCCAAAATAATTTACTAAAAAACCTTATTTTTATGTTTGTATCTAAATTTTACTTTTGATTTGTACAAAATCTAAAATAAACTTCTTAAATATCACATTGCCCATTATTGTTATTACAGTACATATCTAATTATTTTCTTTCACATATATATCATTTTTTTTTTTTGAAACAATATATTTCAACTTTTTTTCTTAAGAAATATAGATTTCATACTTTTTAATTAATACCGAGTTATACTTTTTTTTTATAAAATTTATTGTAATTATAATTATTTGAAAACGTGCATTGCACGGGGTTTTATCTAGTTACAATAACAATGAAATCTGATCTGTTCGGCTTGCTTCAATCTACTCTGCCGAAATCTGCTATGCTCTGCCCAAAAGCTTAAAAGAAAGGGCCTTAATAGTCCCTTACTCCTCTACTTTTTTACACCATTTTCCCCGAAAACTCTAACAAAAAGTGGATCCATTATGCAAATTAAAAAGGTACTGCGGAATAAAAAAAAAAAAGAGAAAACAACAAACACACAAAAATTATATTTTTTTTTTTTTTGAGGTCATTATACTGTACTTCTTTTTTCTAAATTTGTCTTTATACTACATACTAGTTTTGTGCCCCGTGCAATACCCGGGTTGTTTATCGAAGATAAATTTTTAATCTATATGTCAAATTTTTAAATATGTCATTGATACAAAATTGATGTGCTTTTATGACGATTTGCTATTTATCAAAAAAATTTAACAAAATTATAATTCAATTTGTACCTCTAAAAAATTGGTATTTTATTGAAAATAAAACTCTAAACTAACAATTTTATCCTAAAATCATATCCAAATAGAATTTTAAATTAACTTTTAAATTGTCTATTTAAATCCATCCAACGTGGCGCGACACTTGGCGAAAAGTTGAAACGCCGAGTGTCGCTGCTTTGTCGCTTGGCTAAAAGTTTAGCTTTATCGGATTGTTCGTTGAATTATAATCTAACAAATTTTTTTAATAAAATTATACATGTATTTTATCGAAAATAAAACTCTAAACTAACAATTTTATCCTAAAATTCTATTCAAATAGAATTCCAAAACTAACTTTTTTTTTATCTTATGAAGTCTATTTAAATCTATCCAACGTGGCGTGACACTTGGCGAAAAGATCGAACGCCAAGTGTCGCAGCCTCGTGAACTGGCTAAAAGTTTAGCTTTATTATTAGTTATATGATATAAGCACAAACATAGTCATATGAGATCCAGTATTAGATTTGCATCGATATACGTAAATGGAACTAACATTATAAAATGAAGGCCTATGTACAAGTTAGAATTCACACGTACCCATCTCTATCCGCCCACCCATTGTTCAACCAACAATTCACTCTTCAACCAACAATCCACATAGCCCCAACCCGTTTGGTTGAACGAGACTAGATCCTCTTATAACCCTACCCGTTACCAATACACATTGACCTGACCTAACCCACCTACTAACCAAGTCTAGACATTATAAAGATTGAAAATTCTTTTAGTTCGAACCACTAATGTGTAACAGAGCCAAGAGACTTATTAACTATGTTACAATGAATGCCCATCAGTAGGAAGTAACTGCAAAATCAACTACTGATTCTATAACTTGACTAGTTGTAATAACAAATGTCCTAGCAAGTAAAATTTCATCCCTGATCGAAAACATTTGAATTAGCATTAAACTGTATTCTATTAAATGTAAGTTATGTTGACAAGAGAAAAAACAAATGTACTACACGTAGAGAATCCTGGGGAAGAGAAAGACTACTGTTGGGATTTTTCTAACATTGATCACCTAATTCCATTCCCTCAAATTCGCCAAAATTGTGACTAGGTGCTTAGAGCCCAAGGAATCCAAGTTCGCTTGCTCTTTCCTTCTCGAAAGTCTCGAAGTACTGGTAAATGATGGTCACTGCCAACAAAATTCCAGTTCCTGATCCAATGGCACCCATGAAATCTGCCAAAACTGTCAATGCACCAATGCAGATTCCACCAAAGGCAGCAGCAGTGGGAATGTAACGGTTGAGTTCCTTCTGCAAGTTTGAATCACGGTGTCCAGGCATAACCATACCTTGTTCCTGCAAAGTCACAAAACTCATATTAAGAATGACATTGTTGTAAAATACTAGAATAAATCTTATCATCACAAAATATCATATCATCTAGCAACCAACCAAACTGCTATAAAGAATCAACTCTCCATATGAGCTTGACAGAAAGCTAATAATAAAATTGAAGTATCCTAAACTACTTGAGACTCTAATCACTCTATAATCCCTCATTTCCTCCAGAATGGCAGGCACACAACTCTAACAAAGCCACAACAATAGAATATACAATGCCATAAATCTCTTGACAAAGCCACAACATATTTCCCAAATCCACTGAAAAACAAGATTTGGCAAAACATATAGAAACACACTCTATATCTACTCTACGTCTCTACCTTACAACTTCAACAATATCAGGCAAGTTTAACATAGATAATTAGCTGCCTGATAACTTCTGTCAATCTGGACCAATCCACCTATGTCGTAGGCAAAACTATCTAAACAGGGAGGAAGCACATGTTTGGTACAAAGCCGTGTAGCTTTGTCCCTGCTCCGGTATGATACTTATCTCTACAGTATGTCCATGTCCACACTAGAATGAGTAATTTTCAAAAGTTGGAAAGGTGAATTTTCTTTTTAAATGATAACACTCTTGCATCAAAATTACCACCACCAACCCCCCCCCCCCCTCATAAAACAGGAATACTGCTGTGGATAATGGACACAAAAAATGAATAGCGAATCAAGAAACAAATTACACAAGTTATTCTATATGTTACCTTGAGCTGCTTAGCCACATCTCTAGCAGACGATCCAGAAACCTCAATCCATGTCTTTGAGAATAGAGCACAGGCAGAAAGCATGAAAATAATATAGAACAGAGCATGGAAAGGATGTGCTGCCATGTCTGCCAAGCTGCAATTTCAACACATGTGAATAATGAGAAACTTTTAATCAAACTACTGGTGGACAAGAAAATAATGAAACTAAACTGGGAGCGATACAGACCTGGCTGGGGCAGTAACATAGTAAGCAAGTCCACCAACTGGGATTGACTGACTACCATATTCAGACTCCTTCCACTTGCCCAACAAATTCACAAAGAAGTTTCCGCTGTACTTCCTGTACAACAACTGCACAAATCCCCAAACATTTAAAATCCTAGAAATAAATCATAACGTAACCAGTGAGAACATAATCAATTGCCAACTCCAGTACCTGTGAGATGAAGTAAAGGTTGGACACGAGAGCAGATTGAAGAATGATGGGCATGTTGGAGGTGTAAAACAACTTGATGGGATATGAGCCCTGTTGGCCACGTGCGTTCTTTGACCGCACAGGCAAAACAACTCGGAATCCTTGGAAGTATATGACAATAAGGAAGACCAGGACAGTTGCAAGCAAGTTGGTCACATTGGGCAGGTTCTGCCTATAAAATGCCTCTCGAAGGGCCCTAACTTTGTCAGTTCTGGTAATTAAGAGGTGGAACAAAGCAATGACAGCACCCTCAAACTCAGCTCCACGGCCAGCATTGATGGTGGTTGGGCTGAATGCTTTCCAGATGATGTTCTCACTACAAACCAAGAAACAAAATGTTTTAGCCAAAATACACTACACCATCATGGGATAGCATACCACCAACCAATAAAGATTGAAGCTCACCAGATGTTGGTAGCAATGAAAAGTGAAATTCCAGAGCCTAGACCATATCCCTTCTGAAGAAGTTCATCAAGACAGATCACAATAATTCCAGCAAAGCACAGTTGAAGAATGATAAGGATTGCGTTGCCAACACCAAGCTGTCCAACACTTCCATACATCCCAGAAAGAACATATGCTACAGCCTCACCAACAGCAATCAGAATACCCAACAACTTTTGTGCACCATTCCTAAGATTACATAGAAAACATTATAAAAATTAGAAATAAATATCAGTACAACTCCATTGAAAAAATGAAGCATAACCTACAACTAAAATACACAATTCATCCAATCTAAAAGCTCATGCAGCAAAAGTTTATAGTATTATAACAAAAACACTACATTCCTGCTGTAAGTACACTATACCAAAAGAGGCCACATAACTAATAATTTCTGCGATCAAGATAAAGGAAGCTCATGCAATTACATTTGCAAAATAAACAACATATTCTTGCTGAGTAGTCTTGATCACACACACAAAAATTCCCACCCTCCAAGTTCAGTATAACACAGTACACAGGTTCCCATTTTATAAACAAATCAGTGATTAATACCTACAAGTAGATTCCTTAATTATGAAACTAGAGATTTCCAAAATAACCAGAGCATTTAACAAAGTAACAAAAGCAAATAATGATACTTACAAAAGTGCACGGTCCTCTCGGACATTGTTGTCAACTTCAATAATCTTAGACCCAGCCAAGAGTTGCATCACCAACCCAGATGTGACAATGGGAGTGATACCAAGCTCCATGACGGTTCCACGGTTGGAAGCAAGGATGACACGCATCCAATAAAACGGATCAGCTCCGGTTGTGGAGTGAATTCCATAGAGCGGAAGCTGACTGCACACAAGAAATATAAACAACGAGATAACAGTGTAGATGACCTTTTCTCTAAAGGGCACCTTCCTGTCTGCCGTTTGCACCTCAGGAAGAAACGACAGAAATGGCCGCACCAAATGCAATACTCTGAATCCTCCTCCCATTCTCAAAACTACTTAATTAAACCAATTCTTACAACCTGTCAATGCCAAATCAATAAATTAGCCACCAAATTCACCTTTTGTATCTAACCTAAGTTGATTAAGCAACAATTAATGCGATATTGATTCTAGGAAAATAACAAAGTGATCCAATAAATCACATTTCTTTAGAATCTGCCACAAAATTTTATTAATCAAGCTAAAATCACCATTTTAACTAATCAAACGTAAAATGCAATCATTCTTACTAATTAAAGTTTCATATTCTATCATTATTCAAAAAAACAAAAAAAAAGTAAAGTTTCATACTTTCATATGTCATCACATATAAGTAAAAAATTGATCCAACAAATCACAATCAACCTGTTAAAACCCATTTCAATTTCAATTTCAATCTAATCAAAAGTTAAACGCAACCACTATTATTGCTATTTATATCATAAAATTCAGAAAATAAAAACCAAATCACATAACAAATCTCAAGAATCGCAATCGTAAATCGATCTACAGCCCAAAAACACCTAAATCGCTCAAATCAATAGCTCCAAATCGGGAAAATCTCAACCTAATTACAAATCATATATACATCGGAATAATCGAGCTCTAAACAACCCTAATTACGCAACAAAACTCAACATCTTAGAAAAAATTGCGATCTTTAGACCAAAACAACGCATAAATTACACATGCAAAGTACTACAAACAACAAATCTGATACATGCAAAACAAACAAATAATGAATTCGCAGCAGATCTGAAAATCAGGAAGCTTAAACAAATCGCCATTAAAAGAGCTTCAAATTAATTTCACCATTATCAGATTAAAAGTAGGATGAAAATTGGGTCGAAGTTAGAGAGAGAAACTCACAGATCTACAGAAGCTCGATGGAGGAGAGAGAAAGTGACGCGGAGACTATGGGAGAAGGAGGAGGGGGGAGTAGGAGTAAATATACAGAAATTTTGGATTTCTACTTTACTTCAAACTATTACTCCGTATTAATTTAAAAAAGTATTAATAAAATAAAGGGAAAAAAAATACGGAGTAATACAAATTTATTTTTGTTTCATCTTATTTATTAGTATTTCCTAAAATATACAGCACTTTTTTTTTTTTTGCCTCCGTATTTCTTTTTTATTTATGGGTTGTGTTCAACAAAAACTTTAGTTACTTTTACCAACAAAAAAAAAAAAAAACTAAAAAACTTTTGTTACTTGTAATCTCGTATATTCTATGTTTTTAAAATTTTTATTAATAAACTTGTACTTGTATATTCTACATTTGGTGTATATTTATTTATTTTAGGCTGATTTTTATCTTATTTTAGTTATTTATTGAGTTATTGTTTTACATCTAATTTGGAATAAGTTATAAATATTATAATAATACGTTAGAATTTTATTACAATGTATATAGTAAATGGTGATTTATAAGGAATGTTATTTTATAAAAAGTACTCTGTAATATAATTATCTTAATTTGTTTTAAGTGGTTTTTGCAAGTATTTTTTTTTTTTTTTGTATAAAGATAGGATAACTTTATATTAAATATACAGATTATATTAAGGGTTTGTTTTCTTCAGCTTAATTTCATTTCATTTAGCTCCAATCAGTTCAGTTTTGTACATTTCAGTTCAATTAATACATATAATACGTAGTATATATTTTTCACCCATCTAATAGAATTTGGTTTTTTTTTTTAAAAAAAAATAATCAAGTTGTCTTTTTTCAGTTTTAGTCACACACGTATAAAAAGTAAGAGGGTGGAAGAAGTCAAAATTGGATGCTAATTTTCAAACAAAAAAAAAAGAAAAAAAATTATGATAAAATTATTTATTGTATCCGTATTATAAATTAAAGAAAAAAAAAATTAAAGTATTTGAGTGGTGTGGGGTCTATGATATTTGGGAGAGTCTGGAGAGAGTTGTGGAAAGGTTAGTGGTGAAAGTGATGCTATGCCACGTGATTCATCCAATTACATTTTGACACATAAGAATTTGTGCATTTGTAGTTTGTAGACAAATGCTTTAAGAAGAGGGTTCTTTGTTTGTTTGTTTTTTTTTTTTTTTTTTTTTTTTTTTGAAATAAGAAATGGATTGTTGTGAATTTGTGACAACATATGTGAGTATGTCCCTGAAATTGCTTAATTATACACGATTTTTTCCCCTCATTTATCAAGTTTGGAACACCACATATGTGGGTATTCCTTAAATTTGCACTAGCATTGTACCACGTCATCATTTAACTAGCATCGCAACAACTATTTCATGTCTTTATTCATGAGAAAAAAATATAACCATAACGTTTCAAACTATCAAAACCATTATGTGAATATTGAAAAAAGTCAAACTGTAATACTTATTAAAACACGGAGGGAGTATGATATTTGGTCGATCTTTTAAAAGTAAAACGACCTTTTAAACGATAATACGACTACATCTGCTCAAAATAAAACGTGATCGGTTGTTAAACAAGACAAATGGTACATTGTTATTGGTTTTAATAATAATCCAATTTTTTAAAAAATTTTTAACATAAATACCAATAAAATCTGACACATGTCTTATAACTTAAGAAAATCGATTACCAAAACAATCCAACCGGTCAGGGTCTCAGGGATTGTTAATGGAAGATAGAGGCAAAAAGTGGGATTGTTTTTGGAATTTCAAAAGGTTGGATTGTTTGTGGAATACCGACTAAAGGTGGAATTATTATATTACAATTTTCCAAAAAAAAAATCTATCTATTCTTAATATACTAAAGTGATCCCAAAATAATTCTTAGATTACACGCACCATATTAAAAAGTTTCCAACAAAAACTTTTTTTTTTTGTCATTTTTTCATAAGAAAATAATAAATAATAATTTTATCAAGATTAAAGATAAGATAGAAAATTTAAGTATTAACATACGTAATCTAGTTTTCAATTTGATTGAATAAAAAAAAGGATTGTTACCTATTGATAATTTCAGTTACTAACAACTAAGGCCCTGTTCTTTTGAGCTTTTGAGCAGAGCAGATTTCAGCAAGCAGAGCAGATTGAAGCAGAGCATAGTAGAGCCGAGCCGACCAGAGCAGAGTAGAGCATATTTCTTTATTATTATTATTATTATTATTATTATTATTATTATTATTATTATTATTATTATTATAAAAAAAACCTACAAAGTCATTAATTTACAAGAAATTGGGGCGAGATACAATCTGGACCCCCACCCCTCTAGCTATAGCGAACCCGATCCTGCTGAAAATGTGAGTAGCTGCACGAGCACCAATATCCTGAGTCTTAGCGAACGCCTAAACCTACTTCAGCAACGCAATATCATCCTTCTCTAATTCCCCCAACGAAGAAAAGGAGAAAAGTAGAAAAACATAGCTAATAGCCCTGCAACGCGCCCTATACTTGTCCCGCTTCCGCTGAGTCGTTGCCGACACAACACGACCAAGAACGAAGTCAGACAACCTCGATTGTGTCAAATGTGAAGACCCCGTCAAGTCAACACAAACATCAAGGGCTCTATCCCAGGATTAAAGCAACACATCTGCTGGTCGTAGAACCCCGTCGTTCCCTCCAGTCAACCCAACGTTAACCTCTTTTCGAGCAAAAATCCAGACCGAAAACAAAAATCAATAAGGGTGTCACAATCAACGTTGTGTTGACGTTTAATACCCACCATCCCAGCACAAGACACTGCATTATCCCCATAAAGATCCCCATCAAAAACCCTTGAGCAAGCAGAATACGGTGTTGAAACGGAGAACAAAGGAACACCCAACCGATAGCAAAGAACACTACGGTAAGTCTTACCATTCATAATCTGACCCAAAATCGATATCGGGACAGTCCGCAACCAGGCCGAAGAGTGATCCCCTTGTTGGAACTTCCATAAGGCAACCTGACGCGGAGATAAGGAGAAAGTGGAATCCGAAGATGTAATGAAATTCGTGAAATATGTATCTGCCAATATTTTCATGAGTCTAGGGGCAGCGATCTCACTAAGGTTACTCATAAGGTCAGTCTCCACAGTACTGTTAAAAAGACTAAGAGCACCATTGAAGGACGGTCTCGGACCAACAATACCAGAAATTGCAAAGAAGCGTAGCTTGAAGACCAGAAGACTGGAGACGCGACGCAAGAAAAGCATAATGTCGAACATCACCCGCCGAATAGACACCCAAACCACCATAAGCAAAAGGTAAGGTGGCAAGTTGTCATTGCCAATCACCAAAACCAGGCCCCGAAGCAGTTACAATGCGCTCCAAAGAAACCCGAAGGGCCACATCAAAAGAAACCTCTGTTGTTTCAAAAAGACGAGGAGGACAAGTGCGCATAGCAAAATAGAGTTTCTAAACCCCAGTACACGCACGAAGAAGCAACAACTCGCATTGGGGATCATCGATCTTAGCAACAACATCCATTAGCACAATGGTCTTCGACACTCTCTGCGAAACAAGCTCACCACAGAAAGAGGAGTCAGCACTGACAGACCACCCATCACCTTAACACTTCACATAGGATGACTAATATCTGGAGGATAGACACTGACGAGACGGCTACGAGGGTCTTCCGAGGGCCAAAATATTTCCGTTTTCTCAACGTTAACATGGTGTCCAAGTCGTGGTCCCTCCGCCAAAATCAACTTCAAATCCTTTCCTACCACTAAGGTATCACCAATAATAGTACCGTCATCTAAATACCAAGCTTGCAAACATAAGCCAAAAGATTCCCTAATTTGTCACACTAACGGGTGAAGAACCAAAGCAAAAAGTAAAAGGCCTAGAGGATCACCCTGTTGCACTCCCTAACATGACCATAAGATATGCTCCCCGTAAAACAACCTAGCTGGAGCAGAGTAACAGAAATCAACCCATCGCGAGAGAGAAGGACAACGGAGACAAACCTGACGCAACAAAGCCGAACGGTCTACTAAATTAAAGGCATTCTGGAAATCCACAAGCAACATGGAGAGGCCAACATCACCACCACGCGCCTCAACCAAACGATTAACAGCATGAAGGATAGCCTTACCACCCGCCGGCACCCCAACACCAAACTGAATACCTTCTAGATTGCTTCGCAGACGCGGACCGATCAAAGTAGCCCCAGCCTTTGAAACTAGACGCCTCCAAACGGTATCCACAACAATAGGCTGAATACCACCACCAGGCTCAACAAGTGGTGTAAGAGGAGCACTACCAATGTATTCTTCCAACTCAGCTTTCCCAGCGAAAAAAATATTAACCACCTGCGTAATAGAGTCCACCAACTCGATCATCCGAAATAGCAACTGAAGCGCCACTCAAACAATCCATAAGGTGTTGAGCACACAAGCCGTCTCTACCGCATGACTTACCTCGCGGAAAACCCCTAATCTGATTAAAACAACAGCAGGAGTAACAATAAGGTGCTGATCAACGGGAATATCCGGTAATATAGGAGCCGGAAAGGAAGGGTGCTTAGCTTGTAAATCTGCAAGATTAGCATCATTGTAAGGGGCAAGACCAGAAGACGAAAGAACCCTAACTGACAGGGTAAAGTCGTATCCCCTAATCAAAAGTAATTCCTAGATCCTCTAACTAATGTAGATAGGGAAGTAGGGTCGAATCCACAGAGAAACGAGTCTTTCTATTCCTAATTAACTAATATAATCTAGATTATTAAGTAACCAATATATTATAATCAAAAGGGACTAAATTACGAAGATTAAGAATAAGGAGAAAACAATGAATAAAAGGATCTAGGGCATAGGTTCACCAATAAATAATATTCCAGGGTAGAACATAATAATCAATCATTAATGCATACATTAATCAGATCATAAAGGGCTTTCGCTACGTATTACAATCACACAATTAATTTACCGATATTAAATCTCATCTTTCGAATCTCGACTTAACCATTTATAAATTAACCTGCCTACTGAAACTAGACCTAAACATTAATTCTCATATGTCGAATCTCGAATCAATATTGTTAAACTCGTGCATAAAAGATCTGTGCAAATCTAGTCACGGA